TTTCATCTCTTTGTAGACCTTAAGTCAGCGTATGATAGCATCGTAAGATGTAAATTATATGAAGCTATGATAAAAGTCACTGGATAATGAAAAATATTGAAATACTTGCATAGATCAAATATGTATAGACTACAAAGCAGCCTATCACTCTTTAAATAAAAGAGATATGTTCAAAGCAATGAAAGAGCTAGGTAATACCAAATTAATTGGTAAATTTAACTTATACGGATAACTTATATTACGGATTAATAAATCCAGACAAATGTTTGCCTATGCTGAGGCTAATCTATGAAGCGATAAATAACAATGGAGTGTAGAGAAGACGATACAACTTCAAATTTTATAGAATATCCCAGGAATCAGCTATCGTTAAACATATTAAGATAGAATGTCTGAGGTGGATAGGGCGTGTAACGCGCATCTAACAAAATTGTTTAGAAAAGAAGAGGAAGAGCCAGAACAAGGTTCCTTGATAACATCGATGAAGACAAATGAGAAATATGGGAATACGTGTTTAGCGGAGGAAGGCGATGATGAGGGACCACGGGATGATGATGATGATGATGATGATGATGATGATAAAAGTCATGTTGAATAAAGAGTTTACCTAATTTAGTTTTTAAATTTTCTAGGTCAAATTATTAAAGTGAAAAAATTAATCATTTAGCCAGTTCACTTAATTGATCCACACACTGTCCAGCCTCCTAAGGTATTAATTAGTAAAGCCTAAAGAAGGCGGTACTCTGACTAATTGGTATCTTCACAGGCTACTGCTTATGAAGAATACGCCTTCCGATTTAAATGTAAATAAAAAGGTTAGTAAAGCGGTCAATAGAGGCGCTGATAATCAAATTGTCTACGAAATTTGTACAAACTTCAAGATCTGAGCCGCCAGATCTCTTCACTACACAGTTCACTTATGCAGTACGTCTTTCCTGAACCCTCTCAAGGCCATATAATTGCTGCACTTTAACGTTCTGCTTCTTAAAATAAGAAAAAAAAGTATCTGGGTCACATACTTCCAAATGATAAATATTCTCTTCTACACGTCGTCATACAAGGAAACGTAGAGGGAAGAAAAGGCTTGGGAAGAAAGAAGAAATCTTGACTGGGAAATATCAGAGATTGGACTAACCTCAGTGTTGAACAGATATTTCACGTTGCAAAAGATAGGAAGAAGTTTAAAGAAGTTGTAGCCATTCGTTAGAACATTGCTAACGCATTTCTCTATTTTGCTCTTTGTTTTCCCTTTTTTTTTTTGTTTGTTCTCTATCTTTGTACAATTTATCATGGCCTGGATTACCAACAGGAACGGAGTTACTATTATTATAAGAATAAAGAGTTTTCTTTATAACTCCCCATCTACTGCAGGTCATAGATTCAAATACTTGTGGTTGTCCTACAGTTTCATTTCAGTAAAGTCTCGATGATGGTAATTTCACCAATGGCATACCTAAATATTACAGTTTCTATGAATTGCTTCATTTCGTTTTCGGTAATATTGGCACGTTTTTTTATGTTATCCTGCAGAGCCTTTATGTTTGATTGTTTAACAATTATGAGTATTAATTCTTTTGGAAACAAAAACAAGAACAAATTTGCAGGAGTTTCTAATTCAAGGATACATTTTGGTAGATCTAAAATGTCTTTAAATGCATAATCACTTTTATATTAAAATGCTTTTTAAATGACCTAATTCCCATAAAAAATTTTCAGGTTTCTTTTTTTGTTGACAATAATATTGATACCAGAGTAAATAGGTATATTTTCTATCAAATTCCTTTGTTCATTGCTATCACTCTCATCAGACTGGGACTGACGACATCGAGGAATACTTATTATCAGAATCTGAACCTAAATCGTCTTCACTAAGTTCTTCATCGCCAAGAATATATTTAACGTATTTAGATGAGCCATAAAAATTCCCAGGATCCATTCTGAAAACAAAAACCAAATGTAAATTTTCTAAAAACGGTATAACTACAATAAGATTGAATGTATTCGAAACCATTTATGTATTTTACGGATTTATAGCAATTTAGACGGAATGGATATGAAACCATATAGGTTTGATAATAAATAACATCATCATCATCATCATCCAGCCGAATTTTCACATCCATTGTTGGATATAGGCCTCCTCCAAACGTCTCCAGTTCTCTCTATCTCTAGCTGCTGCAATCCAGTTTGTTTCTATTCTCTTTGGTCGTCGGTCCATCGGGTAGGTGGTCTGCCTCGACTTCGCTTGTCGGCTCTTGGTCTCCACTCCAATAATCTCTTCGTCCATCTTCCGTCTTCCATTCTAGCAACATGAAAATATCATCATAAACCCAGATAATAATTTGAAATTTGATGTAGAAAAATATTTATACAATAAAATATAATACTTACCTTCTCCAAAAAATTGTTTCCAACAAATAAATTTACTATTTCGATAAAAAATATTGCTTCAAATTGATGTCATACATAAGGTACCGTTCATTTACTACACGTTTACAAACGAATGACGTTATAACGATCTTTCTTTTAACTGGTAGACAACCAAACATACAATACATACATAACATACATAGTATAATGAGTAATTCTTAGTCATTTTTGAAATTACGTTGAGTATACCTACGTATTTTGAGCTACCATTAAATTATTACTCCACAACATTCGAATATATAATATTTCACATTGTCGATCGAGAATCATGAACATAGAGCAGTCGATTTATATATTGGTCCTTTGAGCCGGATATGAACCAGTGGTCTATGGATCAAGTTTGCTTTTCCAGATTATTCTCCTTATAGATTCCCCAGAAAATTACTTGCAATTAATGCCATGAATTGAAACTTTTAACACACGTTAGATTTTGTAGCAAAGTACAAAGTACACTGCAACATTGTGATTTTGCTAACATCACACTCTTATTACGAAATAAGACCCCTTTTGAATCTTGATGTATATAAAATAAGGCAAGTTGTCAGGAGTCTGTGCCTATTGATGCATGAAGTATTTCATGCAACAAAGCACTAAGAGGCACCGTATAAAAGCACTGTAATAGTATTCAATGTTTAAATATCTATTTAATTTATTATTTGTTTTTGTGACAATCGTATAAAAAACATTTTAAAACTAAAAATGCACGCTAAGCATATATACCGGTTATTTCGTAAACTATTGGCACAAGCCTGTTAAATCATCCAATTAATTATTCCAAAAGCTGACATTATTGATAATGATTTTCTCTATAGTCGTAGAGAAAGTAGGTAAATAACAATTATTTAAATATTTACGTAATTTGTCAGATTCTGTAATCGTTTTAAATTTAGATGTATGCATTTCAGGTAACATATGCTTCAGATGCATGAACATTAACCAACTTTAGCGACAGCAATACCTATATTGTCTTTCACTTTGGTATAGAGATGCGCTTAACCTAATGTTTATATAAAAATTATTCCTTGAACAATGTGGTACATTTTAGAATATTTTTGGAAAAAAATTTGTTTTTTATAAATGCAATTAAAATATTCTACAAACATTTACTGTATTTTATTAAAAATAGTATTTCCTTATTACTAAATCTGCGTATATAAGATCTGAATTGTATCTTTTTAAATATTATACTCGTGATTTTTAGAAACTTTAAATTTATTTAAAACTTAAAATTTATATTAAATTAAGAAATTAAGTGATTGGCTTTTCCACGAAAATAAAAAATAATCTTATTCACGTAAAATTAGTTTCATTTATACATCAAAAACGTGTCCTAAAATTTTAGCATCATAAATCATTTTAGTATCATAAATTCTAGATCATAAGAATCTTGAGCTAGGACGACGTGGTCATTCGCAAAGTTCAGGGAGAACAGTAGCCATTTCCTATGGGGATTCCCATTCCCTGCCAGTGGTTTTTCCAATTTTAGAGGGCTGCCTCAATATATAAATTAAACAGTAAGGGTGACATACTGTATCCTTGTCTTAGTTCTTTAATTACTTTTATTGGCTCTTATAGTTTATTTCCGATTTTTAAGTAAGTAGTGTTATCCCTGTATACTTCTGTGATTATTCCTAAAAGGTATTGACTAATGCCGAGTTGTTGTAAATCTTGTCACAATTTAAGTCTTCAAACTGTATTATACGCCTTTTCTAGGTCGATGAAGGCTAGATGTACTTCGGTAATGTACTTTCCCCCCATTCTTGCTACTCAGCGACAAGAACTCCTTTAGTGCGAAAACTACAGTGGAAAACTAATCTGTTCTAATCTTGTTCCGGTAGGAACTAGCTCGACAGGTAACCAGAGACACTTAGGGTGTAGACTTTCCTCTTTGTTCCATCTTCCTTTTCTTCTTCATTCTATAACAACATCAATTTTCCGAACCCCTTTTCCTTCCGAAAAGGAATCAGACTCTCCCCTAGGTTTGTGCCGTTATTAGATGTACATCGTAGGATAAGCCCTAAGACCTTCTACAAGATCACCCTTCCAGACTGCGCGGGATGTCCCCATGTTTCGTTCTCTAATGAACTCGTCCGGGAATATCCAGCGTCGAAGACGGGGTGGTTTTAGTTGGTAGGCGACCTCGTGTTGCCTTCTGGTTGAATCCAACAGTACTAGGAACACCTTCCCTAGTCGGTTTCGAACCTTTCCACCTCATTAAAAAAAAAAGATGTACTTCGGTACCAACCGCTATTCTTTTTTCTATTGATTGTTGTAGTATAAACAAGTTATCAGTGCAAGATCTACCAGAGAGAGAGAGGGAGAGAGAGAGGGGGGAGAGAGTGAGAGATAGAGAGGGATAGAGAGAGAGAGAGGGAGAGAGAGAGAGTTATTCATTTGAATCACTTATGCCTTTGCTCATTTTAAAGATCTCATTAAATAATTTTAAAAACATTTAATATATGTAGAGTACCACAATATCTGAATTTGATCTTTTAGTACTCTACAACTATCTGATAAAAAAGTTATTGAATTCTCTGATTTTTACAGCATACGATTTAAAGGATTTAAAAATGAACTTTTTTAAAAAAGGTATTTTAAATTGGTCAAAATTTTAGAACACTTGAGAACATCAATAAACTACATCGTAGAGAAGAGAGAGGGGGGACTTTGCTTCTTACGATGGTATACGACAAAAGCACTTATGATACATTCGTTAAAACAGTTTTATAGTTCATACTAAAAAATTCAAAAACAACATTGAATTTAAAAAAAAATACATTGACAAGGGGGGTCATGAGTTGTTATTGCGACGTCAACATGAGAGAGGGTCTCGACTATAAACGATGCTTTGCGACAAAGGGAAGTATTAAAAGTCAACATTTTTTACGACGTACCTTATGGTGGGAGGTTTTAGCATATTTAAAACGCCACGATTGCCTAGCGGGTTCTCGAGTGATTCTATACAATCCGTAAAATCAGGGGATTGCCACTTTCCACGCCGTACCGAAGGTATTCTCACTAGTTTCCCGGATCAGGAAACCCCTGAAATCTGCGGAGGGCAGGGATTGATACATTTTCCCTGATAGGACTATCCAGAGGAGTTCCTACCCGCTACCCGCGAAATTACAAAAATGAAATGGCGGTGGGCAGGTCACGTAGCCCGATATAATGACAACAGGTGGACACGCAGAATTCTACAATGGAGACCAAGGACGCCAACACGAAGCATGGGAAGACCTCAAAACAAGATAGGCAGATGACATAAGAGCGGCAGGCAAACAGTGGATTAGATTGGCTCAAGATAGAGAAAGATGGAAGCAATTGGGAGATACCTTCATTCAGGAGTGGATGGAAAATGGTTGACAGAAAGATATACCTTACTGTGGTTCCCTTTATACATAAATAAACTTAGTTTTATGTGGAATAAGATTAAATTTTATTTTTGTGGAAAAGCCAATAGGTTAATATCTTCTTTGATCTGTTTTTAATGATATAATCGTGTTTTTTGTTGATAACTGGGTGTTTATTGTAGGTTAATTCAACTTTCACCTTCATCAGGTTGTAACTCGGATTGCATAGCCGCAATAATATTAAAAAAAAAAAAACATTTGATCAATAATTATTTTAAAAGGCTTCTATTGATTTTTGTAGCTTTTTGGTTAAAATGTACTGTTTGCCAAATTTATTTTATTTTATTTAATTTAATTTTATTTATTTTTGAAAAAATACCCAAAAACATGCATCTTTAGGTAGTAAATCAACAATTTCAAGCGTGAATAACTTCAAATTATTGGAAAATATTAACTTATATATTAAGAAAAATACCATCGAGAGCGGGTGGCACTCACCCTGGGGGTAAAAGCTCCCATCGGCACCATAGTATAAAAAAGATATAACTTTTTTCTCTGGCATGTGTCATATGCGCATTTCAAATTTCATGTCAATCGGTGCGGTTCTTTAAAATTCTGATCTTCTACAATATTTTACACTGAAAGAATCATCATCAATCAGCCAATCGCGTCCACTGCTGGACATAGGCCTCCCTCAGTTCTTTCCAGTGTTCTCTACACTGGGCCGCTTGTAGCCAGTTTCCCGCTACACGTTTTATATCATCGGTCCATCTTGTCGGTGGTCGTCCTCGGCTTCTTTTATAGTTTCTGGGCCTCCATTCCATAATACGTCTTGTCCACCGTTCATCTTGTGCTCTGGCTAAGTACCTGCCCAGTTCCACTTAAGCGACGTGGTTCTTTCGATGACGTCTTGAACTCCTGATCTTTGCCTAATTTGTTGGTTTGTTATGTGGTCTCGAAGGCTCACGTTCAGCATTGCACGTTCCATGGCTCGTTGTGTAACTCTGAGTTTATTCGCAGATTTTTGCGTGAGTGTTACAGTCTCTGCTCCATAAGTTTGTACAGGTAAAACACATTGGTTATAAACCTTTCGCTTGAGACACATGGGAATTGAACTTTTTAGAATATGGCTTAATTTGCCAAATGCTGCCCAAGTTAGGCCTATTCGCCTCTGTATTTCATGTGTTTGATTGTCTCTGCTTATTTTGATTTCGTGTCCCAGATATTTGTAAGTGTCTGTTGTTGTAGGTATTATTGTCAATAGTTATATTTCCACTCATTACGAGATTTGTTATAAGTTTAGTTTTCTCAAAGTTTATCTTTAATCCTGCTCTTTCAGGCAGACTTTTAAGCGAATGCATCATAGAAACTGTATCTTGTAAATTATCTGCGATTAATACAACATCATCTGCAAATCTTAGGTTATTTAATCTTTCTCCATCTATATTGATGCCCATATCTTGCCATTGAGTGCTCTTAAATATTGACTCTAGAGCTGCCGTGAACAATTTTGGTGAAATATTGTCTCCTTGTCTAACTCCTCGACCTAAGCTGAATTTTTCTGTGTCTTCGTGTAGTCGTATACTTGATGTAGCGTTCTCGTAGATGTTTTTGATTAGTGTCGTGTACCTGTAATCTATTCGGCTTTGATTTAGGGCTTCCAGTATTGTTTCAAACTCTATAGAATCAAAAGCCTTCTCGTAATCGACAAATGCAAGAACCAGTGGTATGTTGTACTCGATGCACTTTTCTATTAAGATCTTTATGGTATGCAAATGGTCATTTGTGCCATATCCTGCCCTGAAGCCTGCCTGTTCTCTGGGCTGATAGAAATCAAGTTTAGGTGTTAGCCTCTTTGTTAAGATTTTCATAAAGAGTTTGTACATATGTGTCAAGAGGCTGATGGGTCTATAATTTTCTAATTTAGTAATATCGCCTTTTTTGTGTACCAAGAGTATTACTGCATTGTTCCAGTCTTTTGGAATCGTACGCGCATGTAAGCATTTATTAAACAGTTCGCTTACTGATTTTAATACAATTTCTCCTCCTGCTTTTATTGCCTCGATAACGAGTCCATCATCACCAGGCGATCGATGGTTCTTCATTTCCTTTAAAGCTGCTCTTATTTCTGACACAGTAATGGGTAAAAGTATTTCCGATCCCTGATTTATGAGAGCCTTTACTCGTATCGGGAAATTGTCTTTGGCTGGTATAGAGGTCTTTATAAAACTCTCTGGTTATTTTCAGAATGTTTTGTTTATCTGTTGTTGCCTTTCCGTCTTTATCTCTCAGCTTGTATATTTCTTTTTTACTTTGTGTTAGTTTTCTTTTCATTATCTTTAAACCTTTGTTCTCTTCTACCGTTTGAGTAATTACATTAGTATTATATCTTCTTACATCTATATCTTCTTCCAGTGAAAGAATGGATTGAGTAATTTAACGGGGTTAAAATCTAACGTTACACCGGAGGTATGATTAACTCGGTCAATCTTCAATGGCACATCTCTACTCTGTTACTGAAAGTGGTACTTTACATTGGAATGTGTTAATTAACGATCCAGATCTAAATATATCTATTTAATAAAATATTAAAATTTTGTTATAAAATCATATTTCTAATGAATATCATTATAAATATATTAAGAGATATAAATATTTAAATCGGAAGAAGCCGTGTAAATATGATTTCTCTAAAACTAAATACACATCTACAGTCAGATAATAATTAAGACAAAGAAATACATAATAAACAAATAAAAATTGACCAATTAAATGGTTAGGGCATCACAGAAGCTCCTTAGATTTGTTTTGATTTTTCTGTGCCTCTAGGCGTTGTTTTTTTTTTATTCGCTCGACTTAGTTATTAATTTTATATCTTCTTCTAGAAAAATTCATTTGATGGACATTTGTACCTTTTTCTAAGGTTGCGCAGCAATGACATTATACACCTCTCTATGCTTCTCTTTCCTTGGATCTTTCCCTGCATAATCAGTTGGAGCAAGATGTATTTCTCTCTACGTGTAATATGTCCGAGATATTTTTATATGTCCTATATATTTCATAGTTTCCTAGAGAGAGGAAAAGTTCCCCAAAGAATGGAAAACGGATTAATAATAAAGATACCAAAAAAGGGTGACAGAAGATATTGCGAAAACTGGAGAGGAATCACACTTCTGAATACTATAAATAAATTAACAGCAATAATAATAAACAACCGACTAACAAACAGTGTAGAACCAATGTTGGGGAAGGAACAAGCCGGTTTCAGACCAAACAGATCATGCGTGGATCAAATTAACACACTAAGAATAATTGTAGAACAGTCACAGGAATTCAACTCTCCTCTCTTTGTGTGCTTTATGGACTTCAAGAGAGCTTTTGACACGCTCACACATACGGCCATATGGAAAGCACTGCAGGAAATATGAATACCAGAAAAAATAGTAAATCTCATCAAAGAACTCTACAGTGACACAGAAAGCAAAATCCTACACAACGGCATAACATCTGACCCAATAGCTATGCTAAACGGAGTAAAGCAGGGCTGTGTTTTATCCCCATACTATTTAACATTGTACTGGACTCCGTACTAACAAAGGTAAACTCTAATAGAGGAATTTACTGGGGATTGACAAACAGACTGGAAGACCTAGATTACGCTGATGATATATGCCTCCAGCACATACAAAACAGGACATGCAACTCCAAGTAAACAAAGTACAAGAAGAATCAAAGAAGGTTGGTCTAGAAATAAACATCAACAAAACCAAAGAAATGCGGTTTGGTACCAGAAACAACCAACCTATTATGATCAACGACCAGAAAATTGAGAGAGTAGCGGAATATGTATATCTGGGCAGCATAATTGACTGTAATGGGGGTACAGAGCGTGATGTACATGAAGAATAAATAAGGCTCGCAACGCCTACAACATGCTTAACAACATATGGAAATCCAGGATTTACCCAACTAAAACGAAATTAAAAATCTTCAACACAAATGTAAAAGCTGTATGGCTGCGAAACGTGGAAGATATCAGCACCCATAGTACACCAATTACAAGTTTTCATAAATAGAGCGTTACGAAAAATCCTTCGGATATTTTGGCCTAACCGAATCTCCAATGAAAATTTATGGAACCAAAGCAACCAAGAAAATGTAATAAAGCAAATAAGGCGAAGAAAATGGAGATGGCTGGGCCACACACTCCGTAGACCGCCAAATAACATTGCCAGGACA